TCAAACGATCTCATTCTGCTGACCACATGAAGGGGCTCCGTGGAATGCTGGTAGTTCAGGCCCTGGCACAAGAAACTTTGTACGGGACAATCAGCACACTAAAGTAGTTTGACCTTATTAGCCTCACAGCATACCCAAGTATGTAATGCTGACTGTAAAAGACTCCGTATGATCATGTTTAGCATTCCACTCACACTATCTAGATGGGTATTAAACAGGCAAACTGAAAAAGGATCCCTAGCCTTCTAACCTTGACATCTTCTTGAGGAAATGATGAAATATAATGTTAGGGATTTTCCTTTTAAGTTTTTCTTTTCTCTTCCTTGTTTTCAAACTACCAATTCTTTTCATTCTTTTACTCTTTCATGGGTTCTGTTTTCTGCTTTATTCTGGAAACAAGTATAGTCAAAGCTTTATCTTGATATTTACAAATTTACAAATACTAAACTCAGCATATGGTATAAAACACTGGAGGCCAATGATTAAGTTTGATGCTTTATTATACAGTTACAAGTTGTAACACAGTATTATGTTGGCTTAACACCCTTTTTGCAGATAATTACATAAACTCTGAATTAAGGACAAGTCTCTGAATTAAGGACAAGTTCTGCAAATAAATGTACTTAAGAGTCTGTAAATCTTAACTTTCATGTCTGTGTCTGGGAGGTTGTGTGTCTAACCTAGGCATTTACAAAACTCTTTATGCACTGATGCAGGTTAAGGACTAAACAGAGGTCTTGTCTACGCTAGCCTTTTTTCCTTAGCTTCCCACTACTACCGTTGCTGATGGCAGTGGTGAGAGTGCTCATGTAGACAAGTTGCTGTCAACTCCTAGTAGTTCTTGCCATCTAGACCTCCTTTAAGCAAGGTGAAAAGAAATATTTTTTGAAACCTCAATGGCTTCTCTACATTAGCACTCTTACTGTTGCTGTAGCTTCATTGATGGATGTACCAATGGTACTTTTTAAGGAAAGAAAAGACTAGTGTAGATGCAACCGGATCAGCCATGCTACACCTGTGATTCTGGAGCCATTTAGAGGCACAATTGGCTTAACTCGTTACAAGTAACATTATTGAATTTATGTCCTCAGAGAAGCTTTTCTGCCATCACAACTGTGGCATCGCCACCCACACGCCTGGTACTTAACTGGGTTTATTTTGAATGCATTCTGCGCAGCTATTCCATACTTCCTCACACATGATTCTGGATAGATGAGGTTGCTCTACAGCTCACAATTTTAAGTTAGTCAGACAATGTGCTGAAAACAATAGATCCTGCAAAAGAAAATTCTGGAAGCTTTAAATTGGCCAGCGTTTTCTGTGTAATGTATCAAGGAAAGTCTTACTGGATTGCTTTCACAGGGTGGGGGATAGAGTCTTCAGAATTCAGGCACATAGACTGGCACCTATATCACATGGGAAAGTTCTCTGTGACATGTCTAACCTCACAGAGTTTTGGAAAGAGGGGAGGATTAGATTTGCCAGTTTCACTGGGACAGTATAAGGATGCCTCTGTCTCCACAGCAAAATAAGCGTATGCCTAACTTGTTAGAGAAACTGAACTGTGCGCCAGTCTAGGCAGCAAGCAAGGATGGCAGAAGATTAAAATTTACCAAGTATTAACTGTATGTTCTCTGGACAAAAACAGTGTTTTAGTCAGCTGTGCCCATCTCTTCCCAGTTAGGGGGCATGAAAAAATGCTGCTGTATCAACAGGGCATAAGAGATTTTAAATCTGTATCCAAATTTTGCAGCTCACGATCATCTCTCAACATCTTTTTTGCATAATTCCAAAGTACTTCCTAGTAAGGGAGAAACAGTAGCTTCATAGAAATTATCATTCGAAGAGGCTACTTATTTAAATTAGTGGAATTTTTTTCCTAGAATTTTACTGATCTATGTTTTCAAAGCTTTTTTATATGCAGTGTAACATTCCTGGGGGGGTGTACATATTGCTGGCAGACATCAGCTGCATGGATTTACATTACATATTATTGGCAAAACCAAAATTACTTCCCTTCGTTTGTGCATTTTTTTTGATTGCGGAGAGGTTGTATCCCTCTCCCAGGAGTCTGCAGTTAACAACATGCAGCAGATAAATTCTTCATAGGAATATTCAGTGTTTTAAAATGCGTACAGTCTTTTTCCTCAGCCAGCGCATGAAGTTTTGAACCGGTTCTTTCTAGGAGACCTCATTTCCTTTTTGAAGTAGTTAAATGATAGGTACTTTCTTAGGTTTCACTAAAACAGTTTGTTCAAATGCATAATTGCAGTGTTTTGTTGTGAGAGTGATAAAGTATTTCCCTGCCTCGTGGAACACCCCCCCCCCCAAATGTATGGGGTTTATCAGCAAGGAGCTTTCCTTTGATGTTCACCAATAGCTTCTAATTCTTTCTGAGTTAGACAAGTTTTTTTTAAGCTTCAGTTCTTTCTGTGACAAAACATTGATATCATCCTTACCAAAGGTACTACTTTTCAAGGCTTAGCTTTACCAGTGCCAAGTACAGTCTGTAAAGCAGAGACTATTGCTTTCAAAAAGTAAATTACCAATAACTGTTAAAGCCTAGTATGACTTCAGAAAAGGCTTTAAGAACTTTTATGTTTGTTCATGGTAGACTTTCAGCAGAGACAAATCAGCTTTTGAGCTTCATTAACCTCATACAATTGGAAACTGAGGCTTCAATTCCTTTTGACTTTGAAACAACAAAATTTAAGTCCAAATTGCAGTCTGCATGCAGAAAAACAAAACCAGAACAATCCTGAATGTGTTTTCAGATCAGTGAAAAGTTCTGTGGGATCCTAAGATCTGTAACCAGTTTAACATAATAAGCTTGACCTGCACAGACTGCCAGCTGACTGGACTGAAATGTTAAGCTGCCATTCAGAGAGAAACAAATTTCAGTGCTCAGGGTAGAGGAAGCGTTATTGTATGTGTGTATTGAATGATTTGGTACACACACAAAGACTATGAAATACTCAAAAGAGGAAACTTGTACTATGCCATGCAATCAATAGTATCTCTGGCATGGGATTTTCAAAATCCCTGAGTGTTGGCCAACTCTGCTGTTACTGAAGTCAGGTAAAACTGCCATTGAGTTCAGTGGGAGCAAAGTTAGGCCAATATTGAGCACTTTTGAAAATCCCACTTTTAATTCACATCAGACACTACAACATTTTGAACTACATGAGCATGCATGGAGAGTGATCTTAGAGTAACACAGTTTGGAGCATTTCCAAAGATTTGGGGAGATATCATCTTGCAAAGCTCTGCGAAACATGGCTTTGCTTCATTTACCAGCTACTGAATGCTGGACTTATTTCAATTCCACATTATAATTGAATAAACATTGTCCAATTGTTTAAATATTTCCTTGTAAGTCCATACATGTTGTTTACAGTTTTTGCATGTGGAATGAAGACAGAGTTCAGAAATTAATACAAACAGTGCACTGCTAAACTGGGATAATTGACTGAATGGTAAAAAGTCATGTAGTACATAATATAAAAGGTCAGCGTTGTCCCTTTTTTCGTAAAAGTATGTCTTGTAACTGTAAATTATGCATAGCAATACATGTGATAAGTAGCTAAGATCTGACTCTAGATCACCACTTCAGTTGCTTTCATATAAAGTAGTATTTCACATATGCCCTTTATACAGCTTTACAATCCATGGCAAAATGCTGAATCCTGGACATGTGGCTTTGACACCTAACAAGAAATAGTGAGATTTTTGCCTGGTTTCTGTGGAACCATCTAGGTAGATGCTTTGTGTGGTCCCTGTTGTGAATTTCTGCAGTTAGCCTGAGTACACAATACTTCTTCACTGACTTCCTGGTATTTGAATTCCATATCTGAAAATGTAGTCAGGTTTACTTTTGTGAATTGCACATGACAATGAAATATTCCAAACATCGTCTTTACTAATGAGATTCACATGAAGTCTACTGAAATAACCTTTTGTACACAATTTTGGCTTCTACGCTGAGGTCTCAACTTTTTAAAATCTTTCTGTATCTAGTTAGAATTGGAAAAGAGCTATATAGTTATTGTATCCATTTGCAGTTTGTAGGTGAAAGCAACTGTTGCTTTGTGTTGCTTTTTCTAATAAGTTCTATTAAGGCAGATTGTGTTTTAAAGCAGTTTGATGATGCTGTCCACAGTGTCCACTCTCTTCATCTCAAGTTACCATATCATCAGTTTACCAATAGACATCTTCAAAAATGGCTGGGGAGCCTGTACTGTTCCCCAGGTTCTACTGGGGGTGTCAGGGCCACATCTCATGCCACTACTGAGAAGTCTTCAAAAGGCTGGGATCTGGCCTGACCCTGTGCCCAGCAGGAGTCAGAAAAAAGTCTGCTCCTACTGCCAGTGGATGTTAACTGGCTGAGAGTGGCAGGTTCTAGTAACCCCTTTGTTTGCTAGTGAACCCCAGGACACTATGAATAGTCCAGTCTAGTTTCATTGTCCAAGCAGACTGAAATGCAAAACATAAACATCAGAAAAGATGCAAAGTAAAGTAGATTTTTAAATTCTTCAGCTTTAATGGTTTTTGATAACTCAAAAGTATAGCCTAAGCTCTCAACTTCAAACTTGTCTTGTTTTGTAGAGCTTATTCAGATTTTAAAAACAAACCTAAGTTTGGAGAAAAATGAATAGCAGTATTTAGCTATTTAAAGAATGCACTCATTTAAAGATGCACTGTTACATTTGTGAAGGTAGGGAGCAGTTAACCTAGACCCGGTATCAAACAACTTGCAAACAAAGCTTGAGGCTTGTAAATTCTCAAAGCTCTGGTTTGATCATTTATTGCTAGATTTATGTGTTCATTTTTCTTTTTACCAAAAAGAAAAACAAAAAAAACCCCACCAACCATAAGGTTGAAATTTCAGGCACCAAAAGTAAGGAAATTACAATACATATGATGGTTACAGAAATTTTAAGTCAAACAAGTATTTTCTATGCCTGCTTTTGTTGATGAAATATGATGATTTTTTTTTCTAGACCTAAAGATTATCGAAAAATGTGAAAAAGAACTGAAAGAGGAAAGGATGAGTTCCAGCATCACATTAACTTGGAAACCCACATGCATCTTAATCATCCATTCTATGTAGAGGACAGATTTTTTTCAGGTACAAGGCAAATTTGTTTGGGGAAGATCAGTCATCTTTAGTGTAATGGAAACACCAAGCTAAACACTGATATAGTATTTCTGACGTTACCTGTTCGAGAATGTATTGCATGAATCTGGCCTTTGATGTTGAATGTTAATAAAAGGATTTTTTTTTATTTCTCTATAGAGAACTCCAGTTATCTTTCTGTGTATTTACATCTAATGGAAACATGTTGTTTACTGACACTTAAGCTATCTCAGACTAAATGCTGCAGAACTTTGTGTCTCCTTTTCTCAAGGAATAATAGTGAATAATTATGGACATTTCACTCCCATGAACTGTACAGTAACTGTAAATTAACTATTTTACTGACCTGCCAGAGCAGATGGTTTATTTTCACACATTTTATGATGTAATAGAATACAAAGTCCAGTTTTAAGAAAAATCAAGAAAAGTATTTTAGAACCTCTTTAATGCTTGCATAGCCTTTTTTGGAGCTTCAGGAAACTGTGACTTGTGGTATATAAGGAAGCCATTTGTCACTTCTACATGTTTGTTTATAACTAAATATTTTTAAACTGAGTGCACATAAAACTGTATTGTGACATAATCTTTTATGCCCAGTTCTTCAGAAAACCTTTTCCAGATTCTGAAGACATGCTGAATGGAAGTCAGGAGAGATTTTGCTGAATGTGGCCCTAAGTGAATCTGCAGTTTCCATCATATTGTATTAATATTAGCATCAGTTTAACCTAAAAGTTAATCAATATTGTAAGCCATTCTCTTAGTTTTAAGACATTTTTGTAACATTCAGACAGAATGGGGACTATTCTTGCTTGTACTAGCCTAAAAGTTCCCAAATTTTAATTCATAGACCACTGTTAGTCCGCTGTGCACTTTCGAGTAGTCCGCAAAGAGCTGGATGGTGACATGGTGCTGACTCTTCTTTATTTCTACCTGCTAAATTGCATTAAATGACAACTAAATATTTCCTAATACTACTTTTCCAGTACTACCACTGTTCATTCTAGCAGGAGGTTATATTATTACAAATGGGAGGGTGTGATGGGTTCCACAAGTCCTTCATGGCGCAGCTTTGGGTTAATAAACTATTATGGGCTCAATCAATCCTGCCCCGCTACATCTGTGAGAGATGTCCCACTCAGAGGGAAAGGCTTTAAAAAGGGAGAGTACCGGATAGTTGGAGGCAGACCACAGAGGAGAGCCTGCTTCCAGTCCTCAGCTCCTGAAGGGCTGGCTGAAGGCAAGATTTTCTTGGGCAACCAGTGGGTTCCCTCCCTGAAGGAAGGGCAGGCCTGACGCTGAATCATTACTGTGGGACTATGTTTTTAGACTAGCTTCTACGCTTCGTTAGGACCACAGCTTACCAGAGACCCTCTGAAGAAAGAGCCCTATCACACCTTTGGAACAGTCGTGTTTTCATTTCTTCAAGTTTGTTGACAACCCTGGAAGAGGGTGGACTATTGGAGACTCATCCAGGGGACTGATCCTCCTGCAACCAGACCCATGTAGCAGAATGCCTGGGCACTGCAAACCAGAGGCGGGGTGAGTGCAATGGCCCCATCTTGGCCCCTAGGTGCCCTGGGACACTAACACTGTGACAGAGGGGTGGTGTCCACATGACCATCTCTGTCTTAAAATAAACTTTGCTACTTTGAAAAATTTGAGGAAAAACTGCACCTAGTCACAATTTTCGTGCAAAATCGTTTGTCCGTAGATCAGCACGTAGCCACAGAAATGTACATCTTGAGCTGTGCCTGATCTTAAAATATTTTCCCCTGGGTAACTGAGGAAGGGCAAGCCTGGATGGCAACTCAACCGTGGGCTGACTGCAGTTGACAAAGAGCCTATTGAAACAAGAAAAATCCTGCATAGGACACCAACTGTGAAAACCAAATAGATTGCACAGAGCTCTTTCCTTTCAAACCAAAATCTGTCCTTCAACCCGGTCTTAGGAAAATTAGGTTGTTTTACTTAAACTACAGAAACGTAGCATCTTTCTTACTGATCCCAAACAATGAAACTGAAGATGAGCAAAATAACTGTTCAGTGATGCAAATTAAGCAAAACTTTTAAGGGCCTGTTACAGCGAATCTTTTCATTCAAAAGTGTACTTTATTCCTACAAACTACCCCTTTGAAGTCGATGGGGCTACATGTGTACACAATGCTCCTAAGTGAAGGTGGTGATGGAATTAAGGCCTTATTCTAGTATTGCCATTGGGGTTGAGGATATAGACTGCTTGTATGCCAATTTTCATTCTTTTAGTCTCTCAAGGAAATTTTGGCTCCATTTTCTAAAGCCAGAGCATAAGAGAAAGTACATTTTGTTTTGCTTACAATGTATTTTTCATATCAGCCATTTCTTTGGCATTCAAATGGACTTATTTTAGGAAACATTCTTAGCCAGTGATCTCACAACCTAATTTCAGTCATTAACGTAGGAGTATTTTTTTTTTAAAACAAAAAAAAAAATCCGACTTCTTGAAATAAGCCCTCTTTTTTGTGTGTGAGGATACAGTATATATTTTATAGGTAGGCACTGGATGGTTTCAGCCATTCATCCTGTGTTAAATACTTCACAATCAGCAACTTTAATTTATTAGACCATCTGGCAAAGTCTGGAACTCTCAGGATAAAAGTGACTGGATTTTGGAGGAAATGTTGAGCCTGAGCATCTGTCTTTTACTTTTTTTGGCAAGTGCACAAATTCCAAATAAAATAGTTTTTATGACTTGTTAGATGGGCACTCCCATGTACTTATCATCAGAGGACACACTATGGACACACTAGGTTCACATATATTAACTTGTGTGCATGGAGTACTTTGATTATGGTAAGCCATAATTTTAATATTTGCTTGACTAAACTGTAAATATACGCTCAAGTTGTGAACTACAATACGTAAATTAATTCATAATATGAAACATTACCAATACTCTCATTGTATTGCCTCAAAGTTATCCTCTAACTTGTGTATTAGAAGGATTTATGTGTGGGAGGGGCAGAAGGGAGAGCTGTTCCATGGTGGCTGATGGCAGTATTTGAAGAATATGGAGCAAGAATATAACTAGCACAGTGATTATATACTGCAGCTGTTAATACCATACATGGAGCAAAGAGTCCTGATGAGTCTCCTCATTATGAGGGAGGCTTGAGTCTATATTACTATTCTAAGAGAATTAATGTTATAGTGGGGTTATTAATAGGGGGGCTTCACTCTGGAGACAGGATTAGTTTACCTTGCAGTGAAATTGAAATACATTCTATATAATGTGTGTGTAATGGTTGAGTTTATCAAACTGATTTAAGGGGTTTAGACATATCTATTAACTTTAATGGGCAATGTGAATAAAACCCCTAGACTGCTGTCACAATCACAGTCTATGTACATAATATACTTGTACATAATATACACAACTAAGCATTTTTGACATCCTGAATCTTTAATTCATAACGCTCTAGTTAACCTGTTAGGAAAAACATTTCAATGTTATTTTAGGATCATCCCAAGTAGACCTTAGCCAATGATAGAATATTATCTACTGCCACTCACTCAAAAGAGCTTACTGATTCACTGTGGGACGTAATTTTGAGTACATTTAGTTAATGGGCCATTCTCAAACTGATGTAGCTCCCTTAACTTCCGAGGGTGCTATGCTGATTTACATCATCTGCAGAGCTAAGAATGGTGGGCTTGTTATAAGCAAAGTATATGCTGTAAAGCATCGGTAACATCATACTGTATGCGGCTTTAGACCCACTTTTCTAAGTAATAAACCTTTCAGCAACAACAAAATACAACACACATCATTGAACTCTAGTGAATGGTAGAGAGAGACCAACGTCATAGTTTCTGTATATCTGGTTTTGGAGCTTAGATACCAACGTGATAGGCACCTATGACACGTAAATAATTCCCTCTGAATTTTTCAATGTATGTTCTTTGAAGAGGTGGGGAAAGCTCTTTAGAAAGGCAAGTTTGTAGGCTGGGATTTACTCTGTGTACTGACATGTACATTTGAGCTGGCTAGTTACATGAGTGGCAGTGCAGACCAGAAAAAATCCCTTTCATGAAAGGAAACCAGTTGAGTGGATTTGCGCTTATTCAGCATTGTATCCAAAGTCTAAAGCTGATGGATAGCACTCTGCCCTGTATCTGACTGACTATACATTTTACTGCTCAAATACTCTTTGTGTAGACAACAGTATATTAATTTCCTACCCTTGCAGTTACAGTAGCATTAATTTCTTTCTAACTCAAACATTAGAGACTGTGGCTTTAAGTAGATCTATTGCATTCACTAAATCCTGCCCAAATCTCATACAAATAGAGAGATCCTCCTGCAAAATATTTCTACAGAATTCTCATTAGTTTATTTTTGCTGCTGTTTCCTCTGGTGATGCTACTAGCAAACTTACTTCAGTTCAATACACTTAATGAGATTCTCTGGATTTCATAATGAAGTTAAAAATGTTTAAGTACTACTTAGAAAATGTTCAAGTGTTAGCATTAAGAATGTTTGTATTTTCCATGTTGTTACAATGAAAGATGCAGCTGGCCATCTTCAAAATGTTAAAACAAGTACTAATGTGTGAAAATACTTTTGTAGCCTACCAACTACATACAAACATTTTCGGACACATTTTTAGAGCACTCAGGGTCAGTATGCATTCTAAATTGGTTAGTCTCTAAGGTGCCACTAGTACTCCCATTCTAAAGTTGTTTGTTAGGACCTAATCCCTATAGGGATTTTGCCTGATTAAGGACTGCAGAATTGGAATCACTATTGCCCAGCATTTAAAAAAATTGGTATAACTGTCCTTTGACATCTTAATGTTATGCTGGTACCTATTTGCGTAGTTGGGAAAGTTAGTATTCAATACCTCCTCCTGTTAATTTGTCTGGAAGAAAAAAAAATTATTTGGGCTAGTCTGTGTGAGGCAGACTTGAGTGTTTTCTGGCAAGGAATTACTATGTATGAATGTGCATACATCCTGCCATGAAATGTAGTTAGTCAATTATTCTATGCTATTCCACCATTCTTCCGTAAAATGCAGGAAGTTCCAGTGAGAAATTTACTGTGCACCCTCTTCAATCCCGCACTTCATAGCTTACCCGGAGCTAATTGCAGGAGAATGGTAAGAATTAGAGGGCAAAGAAATGACAATGCAGAAATTAAAGTTCAGAATATAAACATACGTGGTTATCTTACTGGAAAGAGCACTGGGAGATGAACAGGGATGTCCTTACTCCTGTGCATAAATGCTCTGGTAAATTGGGGCCTAATTTTGGGCCAGAGGTTTTTGAGACTGTACAGCAAAAAATATACAACTTTGTTGTGGACTAAATGCCGATGAGTCACCTCCCTTTATACTGATGAGCAAAGAGGACGCACCATGGGGCACAAGCAGAGACTGACGGTCCTTAGCTGGATGAGAATGAACACACGCTGGCCTTTTTCAGGGGAACAGTAACCATGGTGTCAGCTGCTTCATCTTTGCCATGCAATCTCTTAGCCCAACACACAGGCATTTAAGCAGCATAAGCACAGACAAAACATATTCCAAAGCGATCAGTCGTGGATAAGAATTAAAATTGGAGTAATTATTAAATTAGAATTGTTTTTACAGTGCCTAGCGCAATGGCGCCCGGGGCTATGATTAAGCACTACTGCAATACAAATCTTGTTTCTGAGAGGTTTGTAAGTAGCCTTGGACATTAGTCCCTATGTGTATTCCACTGTGGGTACCCACGGAGCTGGAGAATTTTTGAAAGCAGTGTTCACTGGTCCACAAATGAGTTCTTCCTAACCTCATGCCTCAAAAAAGTAGATAAAGGCCAGGACAGACCAACTGCCTCACCTCCTGAGTACTGCTTGTCAGTCACCCACAGTGGAATACACATAGGGACCAGCACTCGAAGAGGAGAAGATTAACTGGAGGTTCTTTGAGATGTGTGGTCCCTCTCTGCATTCCACTCCCTGCTCTCCATCCTATCTGCTTTGGCTCATCTTCTGCTTCGTGGTAGAGAAAGGAGTGGAGAGTGGTCAGTCTTCCCCACCCTTGCTCTCCTTGTGCCCCCAACCAAGGAGATAAAGGGCACCAGCAGACACAGCTTTCAGAATTCCCGACTCTGGGCACATGGAGCACATGACTACCCACAGGTAAGGACCACACATCTTGAAGAACCTCCAATTACTAAAAGGTATGCAACTTCCTCTTTGTTAAATCCTACAAGAGGTTTTATCATTAAGATTAACATAACTGTTGCTTACTCTGGTCAGAACTCTGATTTGAGTTATATTTGCCTTTTTTACATTTATGTGCATTATTATAGATTAAAGTATAGTAGTATGTGAATTGATTTGTGTCTTGAGTGGTTGCACTGTGCCATGATTAGCTGACCAAGTTGTTTTGCAGTTACAGATTCCAGTCCTTTGCTACTAATTTGGTACCCATATGCAATATCCAGTGTCCACGTGCTGTATATTTCACATTCTGTTGTCTTATTCATATTTCATCTTACACTAGTAGTTTTCAAGTAATAAATACAAATTTAATTTCAACTGTGTGCATTTTGTAGAGCAAAACAAACAAGTGTCCCATCCTACTTCTTTTGTCATTATGATACTATAATGAAGGCAAAAATAATAGGTCCTTAAGTGTTGTATTGAGAAAGTGTCTATATTCTGCCTTTACACGCTGCCATCTGAAGTTTAGTCCAAATATTTGGAGCTAAAATCAACAAAATGGAATGTTTACTTATAAAAGTGTGCAACTTTTATTTGCATACAAAACAATTGAAATAGGTTCACAATAAATTATCAGCATGTTCCCATATAACTTTGTGTATTTTGAATAGATACTGTGAAAAAAATTCCATTAACATAAGACTTCTTTGTGAAGGGATGTAACAGCCAGGTATAAGGAAACCTAGTGAATATGCAGTGTCTTCAGTGGTGAATTAAGTAAGGTTACTCTGTTAAGAAAACAATTTATCAAAATATTAATGGAACAAATCATATGGAGAAACATGGACAGCAAAATACTACTGAATTAACTTTTCTGAATTGTCTTAATTAAACCAGCTATTGTGATGCCTTTTTTTTTTAGATACAGTTTGAATAATGTGTCAAACAGTACACAAGAGTCTCAAAGGTCTATAAATGACCTTTTAATCTTCTAGCACCAACCCACTAAAATACTAATAGTTTCTGGCATGCAACATTATTACCATTATTTGTTCTTTTGAGGTGGCTGTGTACAATTTTTTTCCCTTTAACATATGAGCCTGTAACCATTTTCCATGATGATAATTTAGGCAACTGGACACAAGCCTAAATATATATGCACATAAATTTTCCCTTTTAACAGTTCCTTAAGTGTTTTTTTTAATTGCCCTCTTACGTATTGGAGTGTTCACACTTCTTTTTGATATTTGCCTTCTGAAACGACTAATTCCAGGAGATCTCACTTCAATGGCTTCCATCTCTTCCTGAACAGGAGTAAACTCTGGTTGAGCAAGATGAGGTTCTGGATAGGAGGACTGGGGATATTGGGCTGGTTGGGGGTAGGACCCAGGAACTATATACTGCTGTTGCTCACCATCATAAAGTTCCTCTGGGTCATAGATTTGGTAGGAGTTATGTGGCAATTGCACTACGGGGATGTCTTGATCAGTTGCATCACCGTATCCACCTTGACCCACCACCAGCGAGAGTATTTATATGGTTAGCACAAAAGGAGGGGAGCAGAAAATTAAAGTAATAATTAGGAAATTGGAATATTTCATCTCTTTAAATACAATACATTTAATTCACAAAAAGAAACTGAAAACATTTAACACAATAAGCAGGAGAGATTGGAAACAAACCTACCACTCGACAGCCAAGTTAGTTGGAAATCATCACCAAAAATTACACCATTGTGCTTATTATATATTAAAGCAATTTGTCTGCTTTATCAGATTCCAATTATGTCCTAGAATCTATCATTAATGGACAGAAAAGGTCAGGCAAATTTTAATTTTAACAGGACAAGGAAGCTAAGTGCATATACAGCAGTAACACCAAGTCTGTTAGTGGCGGTCAATATTGTTGATGTAAAGTATAGGGCAGCTCAGTATCGTTTCTGACCTTCAGCCAAATGAAAGGAAAAATGCAACCAGAATGAGCCTTTCACCTTCTGGAGTGGAAGCCATTGTAAGGGATTGGGCCTTAAAATAGGAAATGAACAATAGAGGGTGGGGGTAGAGAGGAGAAAAGGATGGGAAGAGACGAACAACAAAAACATACAGATTAGTAAAACATACAAACTAAGCTGTCTCATGTATTACATTTGTAGTGACTAATAGCTTACTAAAACAGAAAATTAAAATTAAAGTCCAGTATCATGACTGTGTCATAATTCCTGTTAATTTCCTTCCATTGCCTCTATATATTATAATGGAAAATATTACAATACAGGATCCCTAAATTTTACAGAAGGGATTTTAGAAAAGATCCTGTTTTCTGGATTGTTTCATTGGTTATTGATGAGCACGTGCGTCCTTCTTTCAGGTTACAGTAGTTTTTGTTTAGTAGAGTTCATGCTTTCATGCTATATAGAAGCACATGAATGAGGAAATTGGGTAATATGTTTCAAAGACTACAAGACTCCACTGTCACAAACATTAGAAAATGGAGACTCAACAAATAAAACATTCAGTTGACAGGTAGTGGACGCATACAATCGGACAGTGCCACAAACACACACATGACAATACTGATACGCTTCATTCATGGTATAGGCCTTCTGGATTTGATGTGAATTTTCTTGTTTCTTACTCTGTTACACTCTTCTCTTAGTGTAAATCCATAAATTAGAACAGAAATAGACCCATAGCTTTTCAAGGGGTATCACATTTTAATGCAAGGTTTTATCAAAGGCCTCCATCTTACTTTGGCTGTTGGTAAAGGCACTACACTTCCTTCTCATCCCACCCCTTCTACAAAGCTGACTCCTAAAGGCTGGATAAAGACTATTTACACTGAAGAAATGTACTCACCTCCCACATCATACCCAGCACAAGAAGAAGGATCACAGTAACCAGGTGGGCCAGAAGGACCCTGTGGACCAGGAACACCTGTATGACCAGCTGGGCCTCGTTGGCCTGGAGATCCTGGTGGCCCTGGGCTGCCAGTTCGACTTTCACCAGAAGGTCCTGCATAAAGTACATGCATGAAACAAATAACTATCATCCTCAGTAAAAGCACTGCCTTTAGAACATCCTGGCAGCACTGGAAGCACCTGCTAGGATACCATGGCTCCGAGAGTGCTGTAAATACCCAGGGAGACAGCTTAACTAAAGAGGAAGGGATTCCTGGGAACTCCTTAAAACTCCCCCAGCAAACTGGGAAGAGTTTTCGGTGATTACCCTACTGCTGCTAAGCCTCACATCCTCTCTGGATACTGCTAAGTCATCCCTACCACAGAGAGTTTTTTTATCCTGAAAGTTTATTATAATACTTCTGATAAGCAAATCTTTTGCAGTCAAGGCTCAGCAGATTGCACCAAGTGTCAGGTAACTATTCGGGGAGGTTAGTCACACCTGGAATACTCTGCCTTTCTAGCAATATATTCAGTGGGGGAAATCCTGGCTCTACTGAAGTCAAATCTGTTTTTTCCATTGATGTCTATTGGGCCAGGATTTCACCCTGTATATTTTATCGTGAACTAAGTATAAACCTTTCCAGCAGTCATAAATGTTTCAATAAGAAACCAAATATAGCCACTCCTGGTCATCAATCCCTTATTCCACAAAAGCACATGTCCTTTGGACAAGTGGTTTATTGTAGGCAAAGGGAGAATATGTGTCTGACTGACACAGTGTCATCATGTTATGCTGGGTTGTGATGTCATGACACAAGCATTGTGACACTGAGGTGCCCAACGTAGATTTGGGACACTAAGGGTCCTGCTGCCTAAGCCTGCAAGGAGCTAGACAGACCCCGGAGAATCTCAACTGGCCTGCAAATACTAGGATGGGTTACAGCTGTGTGTTAACCCTAAGAGCTCTGGAGAACGATAACTTTACCTGCAGGCCCTGGTGGGCCTCTGGGCCCTTGTGTTCCAACACCTGGGTTGCCTCTTTCTCCTTTCTCGCCTGGTAAACCTATTGAAATATTAACAATCAGAACAACAGCTTTAACATGGGTCTTTATAAACTGGCTGCTTGTCTCAGTCATCTTTCCACAGACTGGTGTTTGGTATTGAAAGTGGGGGATCCTAGCTCTCCTTCCTGCTACAGACAGTCTACCAAAGGGGGGTCACAACTTTCCTAGGCCTGCTGCCAGTATGGCACCAGCAGGGTAGAAAGAGAGGAAGCATAGGCCACACTGCCCCGGAGGATCAGCAGAGAAGGTGCAGCAGGGGGCCAGCAAAGGTGGCTTTGCGCCTCGCTACTTCCAGTCTGCTCCAATGCAGCCTCTGGAATAAATTAAGAGCAAGCCCCAGCTAGCCACAGCTGTCTCTGTAGTGCGCTGCAGCCCAGAACAGCCAGGCCATTTTGTGCTTCACCAACTCCCTGCCCCTAAAGCAGGGCCTGTGCTGGTCCTATACCACCCTTGCACTGGCAGGAATCCTCAGGGGGCCACTGCAGCCCCTTTAAGAGCAATGGAAAGAAGGCACAGAATCTGGTCCCAAGAACAGGTAATAAGGCCCAGTCTGAGGTCGCCAGTTCCATGCAGCTCTGATGTCCCTCCTGCCACAGCAGGTGAGTTAGGTACCTCCACGCCCACCCTTTCCAACATGGCTGAACTGCCCTGAAAACATCAACTCAGTATCTGATCTATGTCACAGGAGACCACATAGCAAGTAGGCTAGAAAAAGCCCTACATTAATATCTCCTGAACTACACCTAGAGCATCCTTTCATACACTTGCTATAAAGTAGCTATCCCAACATAAGAAAATACCCTAAGAACCGCCATACTAGGTCCAAATAATGGTCCAACTAGCTCAGTATCCTGAGGTTTAAAAAAGTTATAGCTATACACTGACAGAATGCCCTGACTGTTTGTATCAAGGTATTATTCCTAATGAAAAACTGGTTTCCTGCCAGACCAGCTGAAATGGTCTGTCTGTTGAAATATAAATTGAGTATTGGCTCATTCACAATCACCCTTCTGAGCTGAAGGCAGATGGAAGGCGGTGAGATGTAACAGGAGGAGAATAGCAGGGGGAAAAGAGCTTTCTCTGGGCTCGGGGGTGCGCTGCCTTCAAAGATATATTGGACTATACCTGGGGGACAGGGACAGCACCCTGTTATCCTGCACTTGAGGAGGTAATTGGGCAGTGTGATTACATTAATGAAAATGGGATTCCCAACCTGTCCTGGTTGGAAACACAGCAAGAAAGCTTTAGGGGAGAGATAGGGTGACCACCTTTACTGGAAGGAAATAGGGGAAAGCACATGAAAAATAAGGGACAGTGTTTTACATAAGGGACATTTTAAGGAAACACCATTTCCCTTCACATATCATGTATTTTGCTCTCAAGTGTATGTTTTTACTCCCCTCAAGTATACAATGCAATTACCATAAACTGCCATTTAATGTTTAAAATGGTCAAGGAGCATCCCTTAAAATTAGCTTGGGTGGTCACCCTACTGAGAAACTATGTCAGACAAGAATTTTAGACTGTTTAAAGAAAATGAATTGTAGACTCTAAGAAGCATGTTATACTTCTTGTTTTGTATGTCATTATTTTTGTTTCTATTATCCTTACTCGCAAAAAGAAAAGGAGGACTTGTGGCACCTTAGAGACTAACAAATTTATTTGAGCATAAGCTTTCGTGAGCTTATGCTCAAATAAATTTGTTAGTCTCTAAGGTGCCACAAGTCCTCCTTTTCTTTTTGCGGATACAGACTAACACGGCTGCTACTCTGAAACCTAACCTTACTCGGTAGCTCTTAAATCTTTATCTTTGACAACAAACATATGGTTGTTTCACTATAAATATATCTTTGTCGTGTTGTGTTTTAAAAGACCTAATCCTGAGTTGTACCAATTAAGCTATGGTTATTCCCTTGGGAACAGGGAATCTGGTAAATTAGTGTGTCCAGTGACAGGGGCTGGATACTACAGGGGGATGCTTTCAGAGGGGGTCAGGGTTTGGGGCGCACCTCTTATTTATCTGCAAGGCAAAGGAGGGGCTGGCAGAGATCTGAGGATGTTGTTTTGGTGGCTAACAGACTGGTGGTGTCAGGGACCTCACAACTAGTTATTCACAAACGAGTCTCTCTCTCAGGCAGGTTAGTAACAGGGTGTCTTTCAGTCCTGAGCACCCCGAGATAGTGTCACACGCTTCTCATGGAGTTAGGCACCAAAATCCTTTCTATAAAATAAATAATAAATGAGGATCCAGCAGCCCCCCCTTACAACTGTTAGCCCAGTGGTTGGAGCACTCACACACAAGTTCAAATCCCCCCTCTACCAGATGTGGGGCAGAGATTTGAACCCAAGTCTCATCTCAGAGATTGGAACCCAAGACACTGGGCTATAGGAGTACCCTGGGAAAGGTCTCTCTCAATCTCTCCTGTTGAAACTTTCCACTACCCATACCATCATTTTGTGCAAGGCCTTATGCTTGATAGGTGGGACACTGCCTAGTTTGAGGATCCCCCTGGGGCTTAGGCACTCGGGCATCAGGACCAAGGTAGCTGTGCATGTGCCCAGCAGTAGAAATTTGGGCACCTTAGGGATTTTACCAGCAGAAATGTACGCACCTAGGGAATGTAAGGCACCAGCTGAGCAGGGATTAGTTTGAAATTTTGGATTATGTGCCTAAATCCCTTTGCAGATTTAAGTCTTTATGTCTCACCCATGAATTTATGGAAGTCAAAATCTTTTAAAAACTCACTACCATTAAAAATGAAATGCTTCTTTTTAGCTGTGCGCAGCAATTAAATTCAGTGCCTGTGGCCGCCTCGCCACTTGATGGCTGTAATGCAGTGCCGTTTCTTCTACATCTGGGGGTAACATTAGACTAAGGCCTGTGTCAGAACGTGTTAAACGTGTTACCAAATGTTCCTTTTATCATTTGAGAAATATTACCAGAGTACACCCCAATCCCTGCAGCCCTGACCTGGAGATTGGAATTCACGCCTCTATAACAGCTAGACTTGATTACTGTAATTCTTCATTTCCTGAATTGCCTGCCAAAATGTATCTGCAAACTATCATAGCAACTCAACAGCCAGGATTCTGACCACTTAGCATGCAACTCCTACTCCAGAGTCCTCACACTGGCTTCCAGGATGATGTCATGTTCATCTTTGAAGTCTTGCTCTTATCATGACCAACAGCTGGGTTCTGTTTTGCTTATTTGATATTTTTCCCTCAGCTTACTAAGCTCCTTAGAACAGGCGTTAGCATTTATCCCATTGTTTAAAGTCACAAATGGCCAGGGTAAAATTTTCAAAAGTGCCTAAGTCCCATTCTTAGAGTAACTTAGGTCCTAGAATCCCCAATCCTACTGCAAGGCAATGGGACTTAAGCTCCTAAGTCACTCAGGCACTTTTGAAAATTTTACCCCAGTGTTCTTTCTTCTGCACTTCTTTGCAAAGCAATATTTTGCCTGCTGGTCTCAGGGCTCCTGAAGTTCTATCCCTTTCATACATCTGAGCTGAAGACTTCTCTTTGAAATCTAGCATTTGCTTACTATGTAACCTTCAATTTCTTTGTGAAATGCTATGAGACACCTTGTGTGAATGGTTTTATTGTATGGTATATGTGGGAAGTAGTCCCAGATTGATACAACCCACATGTTAATTCCTGTGGGAGCCTGCCTCAGAAGCATGCTAAACAATACTTACGTGATCAGGGGCTGAATTCCTCCTGCTTTTAAAAATGAATTCCTTGTGCCAAATTTTAGCTCTGGATTCCAAATGCAAAATATTTTCTAGGTATTACTGAGACAGTTGATGTGCCATGGTAGCTGCAAAAAAAGGGGACTAAACCCTCCATTGCACTCTGTTAGCTTTGTTGTGGGTACTACAGCAAGGCAAATACATTTAAAGTGCCACAGTAGTACATGAGAGAGACAAGGTGGGTGAGTCAATATCTTTTATTGGACCAACTTCCATTGGTAAGAGAGACAAGTTATCAAGATTACACAGAGCTCTTCTTCAGGTCCGGGAAAGTGTCACAGCTAAATACAAGGTGGAACAGACAGTTTAGTAGAGGTAGTTAACATACTTTCTCAGAGATCATTCACGGTGAAGTGGCTCATTAACTCTGCAGTCATAATTTTCACATTCAACAACAAACACTTTGTCCAAACATGAGAACAGCCATAGGTACTTGGATGCTTCCCTAGTATGCCAACCTCATCATGGGCCACACTGAGGAAGAATTTCTGGATGAACACACCATGAAACCAATGATATATCAATGATATTTTTATTCTCTGGACTGATGACCTAAAATCCCTCAGATTTCCATCTCAACTTCAAGAACCACCACCCACCTATCAAACTCTGTCTAGAACGCTCCTGCACCAGCATCAACTTCCTGGACACCACAATTGACATCAACAATAGAACCCTCCAGACAACTATGCACAAGAAACCCACAGATCACCATGTTTACCTTTACAGATCCAGTAACAACCCCAAACACACCAAGAAATCTGTTATCTACAGCCAGGCACTCAGATACCACAGAATATGCTCCAAGGAAAAAATACAGGATACATACCTTAACTACTATAAAAACTCCATGGCCCACTTGTGCCACAACACCTGTTTTTCTGCATATAAAAGCCAGGGCCAGTGTTAAGGGGTAGCAAGCAGGACAATTACCTGGGGCCCTCCCCACAGTGGACACCGCAAAGCTAAGTTGCTCAGGCTTCGGCTTTTGCCCTGGGTGGTGGGGCTTAGGGCCCCAGACTGCAGGCCTGCACAGCGGGACATTGGCTTTCTGTGCTGGGCCATAGCGAATCTAATGCTGGCCATGCTTAGCAGATCCCCTGAAACCTGCCCGCAGTCCCCTACAGGGCTCCGGACCCCTGGTTGGGAACCACTGCCTTAACACACTTAAAAGTACCTTTATCAAACAAGGACTCCCCACTAGAGAAGTAGATTGCATCATGGAATGGGCCACACAAATACCT